TTTCTTTTAAAAGATATCTCTTTTTAAAAGTGGGGGGGGGGACTCTAAAACACGGTGTGATGGTGTGACCATGGGAAAACTTTTCCTCTCCCTCTCTCTCTTTCTTCTTTCTTTCCCACAAGAAGGCACATAGAAACATCTCGGGAAGCATAACAACTCAAGAAGCGTGGCCAAAGCTCAGAAACGCAAGTACCTGTGTCACAGCAAGCCAAGAACACTCATTCTGCTGGCTAATCCAAACAGCTAATTAATCATGCTCCTGACGGTGCGGAATGCAGATTCGCCTGCTCTTTGCAGAGACTTTCACAGGCAGTCCAAAAGCTTTCTGGAATATTTGGATCGGAGGTAGCTTGAGGAATTGCAAGTCAGTGATTCTGAGAGCTGCAGATTTCTTTGGCCTGCACAATCTCAATTTTTTTTTTAATCGAGACAGGGTTTCTCTGTGTATCTCTGGCTGTCCTGGAACTCACTCTGTAGACCAGGCTGGCTTTGATCTCACAGAGATCCACCTGCATCTGCCTCCCAAGTGCTGGGATTAAAGGCATGTGCCACCACCACTTGGCCAAAATATTTTTCAAGGCAAGCATGCTATTAACAACTTATTTTTTAAAAAATAATAATATTGGGAGAAATATCATTTCTTGTTGCTATAAGATATAGTTTCACGGAATCTATTTTTATAAAAGATTGCAGGCCTACCAGAGTCAATTTTTGGGTTTGCTAGTTCATAATTGCATTTATGAAGGATGTGAGCATCAAGGTCATTTAGGTCTCTCTCTCCCTTCCTACCTTCCTTTCTACCTTCCTTTCTTTCTTCCTTCCTTCCTTCCTTCCTTCCTTCCTTCCTTCCTTCCTTCCTTTCTTTTTTTTGAAACAGGGTTTTTCTGTGTAGCGTTGGCTGTTCTGGAACTAGCTCTGTAGAACAGACTGACCTCACATGCTCAGAGATCTGCCTCTCAAGTGCTGGGATTAAGTTTAAGAAAGAAAGTACCTTGCCTGATGTTACCTTCTTTCTTAAAGTTTCCATCAAAGTCTGTTGAAAGTGCCTGCCATTGGCTTCTCAAAACATACATTGTGACGTAGCCACTGGCAAATTGCCTGTGCTCCAGTACATGACCATGTTCACGTAAGCAACCCTGATTAAACTCACTGGATCATCAAAAAAGGAGAAATAAATCAGTCCATAAAAGTGGAAGTGTGGGGTTACTTGGAAAGAGAGAGGAGACCAGTTTGTGTGGGGGTGGGGTGGAGACCAGATGGTATGGAGGTGAGAGCATGATTGTTATATGGCTGTAGGAAATGTTTAAACTTTTAAATTTTTTTTTTTGATTTTTCAAGACAGGGTTTCTCCGTAGCTTTTTTGGTTCCTGTCCTGGAACTAGCTCTTCTAGACCAGGCTGGCCTCGAACTCACAGAGATCCACCTGCCTCTGCCTAAATTTTTTTTTAAAGATTTATTTATTTATTTATTTATTTATTTATTTATTAT